TGCAGTGTGTGATCGAAACAAATACATTCTATTACTAGTCATTGCAGTTGGTTGAAAACTGGTTTATATTGCGGGCTTTACTAGAGTGCGCCGCGTACGCCCGAGTCGAAGCTTTACCTAATCTTGATGCACCAGTGCGTCGTTGTCGCTCTGTGGCTCTCCTCGAAACGATAGACTGAGCATTCCAGAGTTCTGCATAAGCAGAGCTGTCCAATATGTGAGGCCGAGTATCACAGGATAGCCCATTATTATCCCTTTTGGCGCATTCAGTTGACAAGTTCAAGAAAAGCAGACTCTCCAATGGAAAAAAAATAAAAATGAAACAATGCCGAGTGATTTGAAACGTGTTTTGACACATTTAAGCTAGCTTTGATCAAGCAATCTCGGGAATCTTTGGCCACCACTGTACTAAATGACCCCGGGCATTTCGGGAGTGCAATGCTTTAGCTGAAACAGTGGTCGCACAGTCCGCTTCAAACAAAGTTTTCTCATTCTTGCTGGACAAATTGTACTGTCATCAACAAGCCCCTGAAGCTACGTATACTGGTTTTACACGACCTTCTAACCTGCATAGTTGAAATTCGTTATATAACATGGTGGAACTTGCTATCATTTTTGTATTTTACGGTGGTGGTAACAACTTTAAAATAACTGCGACCAGTTCGTGGACTCGGCCTAGGCCGCCCACGAGAAGGACCAGAGACACTGTCTCCTCCCCGCCTCACGGGCTTGCTGGATGGCCCACAATTGATCCTGAAGGCTGGAGCTGTGCAGCGTGGCCGTTCACCGCACCGCAGCCTCATATGGGGAGACTGCATGTTCTTCTGCTAAAACTGCACACTCCCGGCTTGACCTTTTCTCTCCTTATTATTTTGTTTTGCGGTGCCCCTTATATAGATGAGACAAAGCGAGCTCGTTTTATATTCTATTCTCACCTTGCAGGCATAGAAAATAGAATTGTGCGAATATGTGCCTTAATGTCTGTACACTTTTTCAACACACTCCTCTAAATATCTCTGCAGTGATTTACAATATATATAGCCAATAAGTAAAAAATAAATAAAAATAAATTCTGCATTGCACTTTAAGAACCGACGTGTAAAGTCAGACTGACCAAAGGAATGAGCCAGGCATGCATAATTACGGTGGGGAGGTGGGAGTACCTTCCTGCCCCTGACATCTTTAGACACGATAGATCGGCGAACTCACTTAAACGTCGCCTCACTTGACTCTCTCAGACTCAGATCGAGCCGTGAGTCTGAGTTAGTCTGGGTCAGGAATATTTTGGCGAGTTTGAGTGCGAGTGAGTCCAGTTGAAGATAATTATCTTGAATCTGAGTCCAAGTGAGTTTTCCTACTCCACCCCCTCCCGTCAAAAAAAAAAAAAACAAAACAAAACACATTGCTGAGTTGGAGTCTGAGTGGGTTCTTAGCAGAAAGTATATTTAACGAGGGAATCTGAGTGAGCTCCACAAGTTTCGCCGGACTACAGGAGACACGCCCATCTCAGGGGCGCATAGAGTGAGTTATACTGGCTAAAACACGGTAGTGCGCATCGTACCGTCAAGGGTGCAAGGAGCAGCTGCTGCGATATGGAAATCACCTTCTCCACGCGGCGTTGCCGCGACGCCGTTACCTCTCGGGTCACACACGTCGGGCCTTGAACATTTTTGAAAGCTCCCCGCTGCTGGCGGTGGTGGGCTTTTGGATGACTGTATGCACTGGCATGTTGCGCAATACACTTGAAGAAAAGAAATACACGCACGGCGTTTTTTGATTGCGGCAACTACCTGTCATGCCCTCGTCATTCGCGCAAGGACGCGATGAGGACCCCGTTTTGCTCACAGTGGGGATGGTGTGTCCGCCTCGCGACCCCTTGCTGCTTGTCGCGCTGACACCGTATTGTGCGAAAATTGCCGCTGTGGTGAAACTGCCTTCCAACGTGAGTTGAGATTGAATAGATTTCAAAAAGAGATAAAACTTAAGTTGAAAGTAACTAAAGCAGCCTCGACACTAAATGTCGCGTCATGTTTGTAGCAAAAAAAAAAAGTTATCAGTACAGGAACGTCTTCTGCCACGGTGGTGAAGAGAATATGGTGCTCAGCTTTCCACCCGAAGGTTGTGTCTTCGATACCGGCCATGGAGTCGTTGAAATGCCAAAGGCTCGTGTATTAATGTCAAATCCTTAAATAACTCGTTTCACTGAAATTCCAGTGTCATCAGTGGCGTCAGCGTTGGTGTTGGTGTCGTTGGTTGTAAGCGAAAAATTATCATCTTGTGCGTGACCAATTGATTGAAAAACAAGTAAATAAAAATAAATAATAAATATTACGGTTCAGGTACAGGTCAAACAGGTGTTGTGCCACACATCCACGTGTCTGCTTTGAAATACAGTGCAAATAACTTTCTTTGCTTGAAAGTGCAGTTGAAAGTAAATTTCGTTATTTAGAAACACCCGTTGATGTATACGATCTTCACACTTCATGTTTTCCATTAAATTTTCAGTTGTTAGCAAGGCTAGATCCGCCGGCTACCTACAACATCCTTAACCTTAACCTTAACCTTAACCTTAGCCATTCTACAGTGTGCTTTCTTGTTTTTTTCGTGATCTTTTTCGCGCTTACTGTCATGCCAAGGGATAAACCTCGGGTGTTCAATAACAACCTGTCCAAATTTCAGTTATTTGGCCAATAACCTAATTTATAAAAAGCATTACTCTAAACACATTACTGAGAACAATACAGAGAATAAACCGGGAATAATGATATCTTAAGAAAATGAAGAAGAGGAAATGGACATGGGCACGGCACGTATTGCGTAGGCAGGATAACTACTCATCATTAAGGGTAACTCACTGGATTCCCAGAGAAGGCAATCGGGTTAGGTGAATACAGAAAGTAAGGGGGGCAAAAGAGGTAAAGAAGTTTGTGGCCATAAAGTCGCAGCAGCAAGCACAAGACCGAGTTGACTGGCGGAACATGGTGGAGGCCTTTGTCCTGCAGTGGACGTAGTCAGCCTGATGATGGTGATGATGATGACTATAAACACTTGAGTGACCTGATGCCTTATAACTGTGGCGCACTCTCGAGTCGTGTCCACAGCAGCCACTTCCCTCTTAAGCATGTGTATTCCGGCAGGACGATACTGTTCGGCAGAGTTATTCAATCATACCAGTTAGGAAACTTTGTTTCCAAATCTGGACACGCAGTTGGCCCAATTTTTCACAAGTTACCAGAGTGTCACGCCATCTAGGAGCAAGAACTCAAAACACAAATAATGCGAAATATGGCTGGCGTGCTGATAAACAGGTAGCGCGACAATCTGCACACTCCCGACCTCTGGGCGAATGTCGTGTCCAGACTGCTATACACCAGAACACAGCGAGCTCAGTGCTTGCTGCCATATGAAAAGAGTGTGGCGCCGTCTGCTGCAAGCGCGGTGAAAAAACACTCTCAACAGCATGGGAGCAGATGCTCTGCAAATCAAACGCAAAACTTCACAACTCGGGTCTGGCTGTAAGCATCTTTCGCGCTATTCTTGTGCTGGAATTTTACGCTGATTTCTTGTAAAACGTCGAGGAAACCTTCCTCGACAGCCCGGAGTGTCTGCAGCACGTGCATTGCAGACTACGGAAGCAGCTACATCAGGTACGTACTTTTGCGATTGAAAGGAACGCGAACAGCGGAAAGCGTTGCTTTCGACACAGTCGAACTGAGGAATGCCTTGGCTGTGACAAGGCAGAATTTGTGCTATAAGCCGGCGTCGACGTTGCACTACAATCTGGTTCCAGCTTACACTCATGCACCGCATGTGTATCAATTGCCAGTCCTGCCGGGTACTCGAAATAAACACGCGTTGCAAAAGTGCCAGCCCGGAAAATGTGTTAAAATGCTACGGTGATGCCGGCTGAAAGCACGCGTAAATTCGCCTAGTGACAGTCAAGGCATGTAGCGGTTCGACCGAGTTGAAAGTCATGATTTCTGCGCCGTTCACATTTCTTTGCATGACGATACTTGGCCGTTGCAGTTGTACTGAACATGCGCGTTGCGTACATCCACGCGTGAGTCGTAATACGTGTGTCTTATTATTGACGTGTGGCCTGCAAAAGAGTACGGCAATAGTTTGTACCTCATACTACATGCATATTGCTCGCAAATCGCTGGTGTAAAGTAAAACAGCTGGAGTCGCGCTTGAATAAACGCAATAGGTATACTTATTTGTAGTTTTTCCTGCTGATTGCGATTATATCCTAAGGCGGTGCATGGAGCTCAGCTCTTTTCGTTGTGGATGGAAACCTGTGCAATCGCAAAACACCGCACCGGCATAATTCCCGCGATGCGTTGTGAACTCCACAAGCAGTGCTCAGCAATCTCTTCCTCTTGCGCCGGTTGTTGTCACATCAGATGACAGCTCAGTGGTACCCAGATGACATTTTATAAGCGGGCGCAGCACGAACAGGTGCCTTTTCACATTTTAAACTCCCAGAGCCACTGTATTCCATGCAAGCGAGGCGCAGCCTGGCAGTTGCAAACAAATTATGGCGTCTCTGGGAGCGAGGGTATACCGTCGAAGGCGCCTGGGTTCGAGATAGGCGTGCTCTCGTCTATACATGCAGCCTGTGGGGAGTTTCACAACTCGTATGGTTAAACAAGACCGACTGTTTTGTGGTGAGCCGGGAGTGCGATGGAAGTTTTATTACTCTCCTTTGCTCGACGAGTACAGCTGAGAAGGCTTCCAGCGGCTGCAGCTTATCTAGAAGCCTAGGGCTGCACTCCTTGACGCACGTGACGCCCTACACACCATGGCGAAATGGCGGTCGCTGGCGGCGAGAGAGATATATAGCTGTTGTCTTCCAGGGAGCAGTTTGCAATGAATTATTCGTTTAGAGTTCAATTTTTGTAAATGGATACTAGGCACTCTACGTCTATATATATTTTTTGTGGGTGCACCGTGCCATGGCCCATTTGACGAAGTATTCGTCTATTTCGCGTCATGCGCAGTTGACGAAGGAGGACGAAGAGAAGCGGAGGCGACGCCGGGAGAGGAACAAGATCGCCGCCTCCAAGTGCCGGAACCGGAAGAAGGAGCGAACCGTGCGTCTGTGCGAGGTGAGAACGCCGCTCGAGCCGCGTCTTACAAAGGGCTTAACAGTATACGCGATATTGGGCCATTTGGTGCATCGTTACTCTGAACGCGTGACTCAAAGTTGCAACTGAGAATAAAGAAGTAGAGCGTTCTTTCAGTTGTGACCTCTTTCAACCGTAGTAGAAACACTAAAACGCGTGTTCTATGGGCTTTCACAAAGTTAAAACAAGCAGTAAAGAGATGAATGTGGTCAATTATTTTGATTGCATCGGAATGAGCTTATTTATAGGAGTAGGACACAGTTTCCTACGTCCTGTTAAACAGTGTGTCTTGTGTCCTTTTCATGTGCGTTTAGCCTACCATAAGCGCATCGCTAAACCTTCGAAAACAAACAGCTTAAGCGATCTGGTTGAATGGTGTATCAAACTGAGGCAAAAAGGGAGGGTCCGATTCAATTTACCCTTCCACGGGCGGGAAGCAAGAAACAATGGCCTGGACGTCGAAATAAGTGAGCACTGAGGGCTGCACCAAATCAGTCGACATGGTCAACCAACTATCCGACAAGTTGACCGGGCAAGATATGCGTCGAGCACCACACGCATAATGAGTTTGTGATTGCTGTGATGCAAATTATCAAGTTTGTATGCACAAGGTCCATCTACTCAATGTGTAACGAAATGCAGATGATAATTGTGGTTGATATAGGTAACAGCAGAGTGAAAGTGAGCATCCGCTTTCTCTCTTTCTCTCTCTCTTAGACAAGTTGGGTTGTGCTGGACCCTTGGCCTCACCGCAACAGTACCATTATGGCCGTAAACGTGTTCATAGCCCTCTTATATGCATGCAACTGGATTGCATGCATGGCGGCGTCACTGCGCCAAGTTGGCTGGACGGTACATAATCACCTCCTCACTTCCACATCTTCATCCATTTCTCTTTCCCCTCCCCAGGTGTAGAGTAGTAGACTAGAGCATACTATGGCTCAAGCCGATCTGTGCCTTTCCATTAATAAACATCCCTTTCTTAAAATTTGAACATTGACGAATGTTCACCTCCACTATGGCAGTTACTGACGCCACTGGCAAAACCAGTTAGGAACACTAATAGTCTGCTTGAACACTATTTATAGGTTTATAACAAATGCGCATTTATTAACCCTGCAACCCAATGAAGAGTGCTTGAGTTGTACATCAATCACTAATAATTTAGCTTGGGTGATCAGGTATTTGAAGTTTCATATACAAATCAACATTTTTCTTATTCAGGCCAAGAGATTCGAGAAACGTATATTTAGATTTTGCCGAATATTCGTCAATCTACAAATACGCTGCTATAGAATCAAAACCAAAATCAGAACGGTTTTTATTTTTCAGCAAAAATATTGGGGGTCCGTCAGGCGAAAAGCTGAATCATACAGCTTGCATGTGTCTGAAGGCCCTCACATTGCAGCAGTAACATCAAGATTAGCATTCATACAAGTTTTAGGTATAAATCTAGAAAAAAAATCACAATTTTTTTTAAGTTGACAAAAAAGGAACGAAGGAACGTATTGTTCCTTTTCACAAAAGTACAGTTACAGAAGTGATATTTATAAAAATACACTGATGCTTTTAGAAAAAGAAAACGTCTTAATGCATTACTAAGCACAAAAACAGTGGAAGTTACAACATAAAGACAACTTGTACAAACATGGCTGCGATGCATAATGGTATAATACAATGTTAATTAAAACACTGAGAAAGAAACACATCAAAAGCAAAAAGAAATGTGAAAGTGTAAAAACTGTTTTCTTTGTCTCTTCATTCATACTTCCAAAGTATTCTCGTGTTTGTTTGCGCGTCGAAATATTTTTAAAAAATCTTTCCGTTTCCAATTTATTTAGTATCAAAGGTAGGCATTGCCTCAGAAATTGCTTAAGGTAATTTCTGTGCCTGTATGGTAAAGACGACATGTCGTTGCTACCAGTGCGAGAGTCACTATTTTTGTATTCAAGCCATGACGTATATAATAAAGCGTTTTATATGGTCGGAGCAGAAACAAAATGAATATGAAAGTTGGTATTTATATACTTGTCACACCCCCGTACCACAGCAGGAGGGGGTTGGCAGCCCGCGCTTAGTTTGCTGGGTGCGAACGGGTACATGAACAATCATGTATGTCCACTTCGTTGCCCAGTGGCAAATATTCGGAAAGGGAACATCTTACGAACGTGGTGCATTCCCACTTTTAATGTAAACCGTCGCGAGTACGCAATAGGTTACATTGCACTTCATGTTTACGGCATATTTCTATTGAGTGTACATTTAGGATGCGTTCTTGATAACTGTGACCAATTTTGTGCACATTGAGAAATACATATGACGCGCGCGTGCCATTTGTGCCTCTCCGGTACACCCAAGGCACACGGCAGTTTCAACGCGATAGCATCAAAGAGCTTTTTTCGCGAAAATTCCGGCGTCGGCATCGTCATTTGTTAGTGAAAAAGCATCATCTTATGCGTGACCAAAAAACGAGAGAGCTTGAAGTTAAATATTCAAATAATAAATAAAAAATTTGGGTCTCATTGAGGATCGAGCCGGCGTGGTTTGCGTGGTAAGCAAGTGTTCTACCACAGAGTCATTTGTCTGCTCTAAAATACAGTGAAAATAACTTCCTCTGATTGGAAATACAGTGAAAGTAAACTTCATAATTTACAAAGACACACGTCCTGTATACATGCATGCTTCACAAGTCAACATGTAATATTGCAGTAATAATGCTTGATGCATGCGCACATGGCGATCGGGCGTCAGAACATGCGATTATCATGAATTCATGGTTTAGAGCAGGCCACCCACTATAAAAGGCACACATGTTACTAAGCCTTTTTTTAGGACCACGTAGTGGGTGCCTACTGTGTTCTAACAGATTTCTTATGCACAATCGCCCGTGTTTTCAAGCATGCTGCCCATTACACGGAGTGCAGACCTATGCGAAAGCTTCAATGACACAAGCCGTTTAACTCGGTACCTACCAGCGACAAGATATCGCTATCGCATTCTAGTCTTGAAGGCAAAGCTTAAGAATTCCCAATAACATTTTGAAAGCTCTTTTACACAAGTCTCTTATACAACATGTGTTTTAGTTTCGTTTTTGTGAAACCAGATAGAATAAGGTAACCTTTAGGAACAGTGCTTAATTGAACAATTTTAAGTATTTATCAGCATTAAAATATCCAGGGCCGAGAGTTCTTCTTTTTGCGTTTAGAACGTGTTTGAAGCCCATAAAGCGTGCATCACATTGTGAAGGAGCAAAGTAGGTATTTTAGCTTTGTGACAATTGATAATAAGCGCATTTATTACCAAATGAATATTCAGTGTGCTGCCGCCTTAAGAAATACAGTTTGGTAATTTTTAGTAATGAAATTTGGTTATTAATAGCGACGTACGTATATCATAGTAAGTATATTTATGGGTAATTAAGGGTTAGGTACTGTTTTCTAGGAAAGGGCAAATGCTTGAGAAGCCAAACGCGTGTCTTTTCACGCCTGTTTGCCTCAAGGGATTCAATGTTGTGTTTATCTTCATTGAAGTTACATTTTCCTCACCGTAAGTGTACATGTCGTATTCCTGTGTACCATTTCGAAAAATTGAAGATTAGTGGCGGGGTGGGGGAGCAGAACTTTATCGAAGAAAAATGGGAGTGAAAATGTTGGAGCTTCATGCAATTACACAATGGCGCCACCTCTCTGTTCTTTGGCTATAAAATGCGAGCTGGGCGGCAACTTCGAAGTGGCGTCACGCACAGCGCGTCCCTTTTCAATCTTCCTTCGCATTATCAAGGCATAGACGGGCGCGAGGTTCTACGTATAGGGGTGAAGGAGGGACGCCAAACTGATTACAAAAATTAAAATGAAGCAATGAAACGTGCTTCTTATAACAGGCTGCCTTCAGTTCCTGGCTTTCCGAGGGTAAATCTAAGAAAAGAACAGTTTTTGAAATGCAAGGCCACAGTTACTTTACTCGGTCATTATAGTCGAAAGCCTGTATTGCCATACAGGTCCGACTGAGCAAAGATATGGGGTTGACTCGGCACCCCTTATAGTTAATTAGTGCCAAAAATTTCCTCCCCGCTCCACTTTGCTTAGGATGGTACAAGGACAGGGCACCTTCTGCCCCCTCTCCACCACCCACCGTGCACACGCGTATGCCTTATCTTTTATTCAGGGTTGCTAACTTGGTGTTTCAGTGTAAAAGTTCATTCGTGCAGATGGCCTTTTTTTATTCTCGGTACCGTAAAGCACTCAGGCCAGCGAATATTGGGGAACTCACTCAGACTCAAGAAATATATAACGTGCTTTGAACTTACTCGGACTCACGCTGACAATTATTTTCTTGACGCAGACTCTCTCAGACTTACACTGACGAAAATTTTCGTAATCTTGACTCACTCGGATTCAAACTCGCTTAAACATTACTGACTCCCACCCCCTTACTCAGAATCAGACCAACGGCCCTAATTGAACCTGAGTGAAGTCGAGTGAGTCCACCTCTAAGTTTGCCTAGCACTGCTACAGCACGACTCGCATCTGACACTGTCTCGTACCACCTTGTTCGCAGGAATCGGAAGGCTTGCAGAGGGGCAACGCCGAACTGCGCAGGGAGCTGCAGAGGCTACGCCTCGAGGTTCAGCACCTGACGTCTCTCCTGCGACTGCACGTATGCATCGCCACACCGGCGGTGTCGGCATCGACAGAGGCCTTTCTCGGAGGTGGGGCAAGCTGCCTCTGATGTCACTGAAACGTCTCAGCGCGTTCGTCAGGGATCGGCGCAGTGTGGACGACTCGAAGAGCCGTGGGACTTTCGCCTACACTGTACGATCGTTGTAAACGGCGTCGTATGTGGCTTGCGGATAAGCTACTATGCGGACTGACTCAAAATGGACCATACCAGATCTCCTGCCAAGTTTCGGCAAGACTGTGCATTATTTTTGTTTTGCGTGCGTGGTATGTTAGCGAAAGCCCAGGTAATCGAAGTCAGACTTTCGCGGAATCTATTACAGGGAAAGGCCACCCCAACTTCAATGCTATAAAAAAGAAGCTGCCATGAAGAACAAAATTGTTCTCTGCGTTCATTGTCATGGTGAAAATGGGGAAATATTGATGTGTTGTGCTCCACTTTGACTCGTTAGGGTATGATACATGCAGAGGAACTCTGGAAAGATAAAAATGGTGGACTATCCTGCATAAGTAGAGTTCCTAGTTGGTGACAATTAGCGCTGACATATGAAAAGTGCTAGCAGTGCCACTTGTGTTTATCATGAACTTTCGTACTGTTCTAATGGAAATGTGTTTTGGTGTTGGATGTGCCCCGACTGGCAAGCTTGAAGTTTGCCAAACTGAGTTTCCATCCCTACATTTCGAACAAATGATCTGATACTTTTCTCTTCGCTTTTTTTCTTTTTCTTCAATGATTTTTGAACTATGCCTAAGCGCTGCACTCAACTCTGTGATGAAGGCTAACTCTTGATCTTACAAGTGTTCTACGGCAATTTGCGCAACGAGCCAAATGATTTAAATGCGAGCTGGCAATATTCCTTTCCTCCGCTATGACACAATGTCGTCGCGGTCGTTGTGAGATTGTTTTAGCGTTTCATCGCTATAATGGTCAGTACACTGTCCCAGATATCCCATCATTTAAACTCGCTTTAACCGACTTTAGCGAGAATGAATGCTATGGCACCCAAGAAATCGGAATGAATCGAAGGCGTTTTTTACGAACAACCTCTTTAGAAAATAAAAGCGGAAGGGCATAATTGGTAGTCTTCAACTTTAAGGCGGTATTTGTGATACCAATTGAATAAAAATTATTATGGGCGGCAAAATAAATAGCCGCTGGTAGAAACCGAACCTGGAATTTTGGACAACACTACCGATGCTCTGCCAAATGAGTTACGGCCACTGCATCTCAACTCAAGGTGGCTAAGTATGTGCTTTAGCAGTTTTTATGTGGTCTGTTACTGTTAGCTTCATATTTTCAGCCTATTTCAATTTCGATGTTTGAGACTGTATCGAGCTTGTGAGCAGCATTATTGACAAATTCGGCTCTGTCTTGAAGTGCCTTATAAATGTGCGAGTCACCGTTTGGTTTTGCACGCATGCATCAACCACCAACATAATGTAAAAATACGAAATTTTATCTCTCGATATAATCTCTGCCTAGGTTGTTGGCAATACCTTTTCAACAAGAGCCGACCTTTGCTTTTTTGTATTTCTTTACCATAACATGTCACTGTCTTATCGTATGAATGGTTGTAATCGTACTCTTTTCAAATCAACTACAGTCAATACTCGTTTATTTATGGCGATGCACTCATATCCCTGCGTTGTGCTCACCCGGCCCCCCTGGTTCTGATGTCAACACGAACATACTCAAATATATCAGCCCCAATGTGCTCAATATACCCTTTCAACCGCATTCTCACTAGTTGCCCTTACAGCTTGAAACGTTCCTCTAGTAGTGAGGATGCCTCTGCGAGTTTTTAAGACGCTAAGAAACAAATATGAAGCGATCGTCGTGTCTATACTCTTCTCCTCGTTTCTTGTTTTTAAAGACGACAGTCTTTCTTCGCGACCTTCGATGCAAACTTTTTGGTCTGTCTGTCTGTCTGTCTGTTTGTACACTCTTAACGACACCGGGTACTTGAAACGGCTGACCCCATCCGCAGCACCCACCAATGCTGCTCAAGATTTAGCGTTCATACTTGTGCAATTGTCAATTAAAAAGGAATTATTGCGCATATCTGAGACACCATAAAAACACGCATATACTCTGCATGTGCGCCTTTTACTAGAAAAGGCATACATAAGTAATTTTAAGGACCGTAGCGCTTATCACGCTGCACTGACTATGCGACACTTGCACGAAAAGACGAGTGTTTCCAACGCTTTGCAAAGACGAGACGGTGCTGGCACCTACCAATCGTCTTGCATTCTACACCTTATCACCTCCCAAACGGGCGCGCACACCCGTCTCAGAGCCACGTGCTTGGTTTTCCGAAAAAAAAAAAAAAAAAAACTCCCAGATGGCGCTTATGTCACACGTGTGACGTGCTTGATGCGCTCGTTCGCATCCGCTGCACGCTCGAGGCACTCTAACGCAGTGCCTTCAGAATACCATTGACCAATTTTCTTGCGCAGAACATCAAATAAGTGTTTTGTTCACTCTCTCCACACGCAAGACTATCGTCTTTCGACCACATCTGCAGATTAACATGCAGATATGGGGCCAATTTTTGCGCTTCAAGTTTTTTCTTCCAGTAGTGCTTAAAATGTTAGTATAATAGGGTTTCAAGCTTCGTTTCTTGAGCATCAAAAATACTCAAGTGGTCCAGGTGGGAGGGGGAGGCAAGAGCAGTGGCAGCACGATCGAGTGTAGTCAACTTTATGTTGCGAGAACATTGAAACCACGTATGTGATGTTTCTCGCCCTGAAGTTTTGTCTACTTATTTGTTGTGTCTTGCACTGCTGATATACAAAAAAAGACGAAAACAAAACTTATTCTCGCAAGCTCTCACTTTGTAGTGCACATTGGCTCACGTATTGAGCGTTTGCAGCGAACTATTAAACTTTTCAGCTGTGACGTATGTTTCTGACTTCACTACTCTTTTTCATCATTTTTCGTATCTCTGAAGCAGCAATCATCATAAATTGGGCTCTGAATCAATTCTTCTTCAATCCCTGCTTGTTCTGTTGACTGTTTACTTGTGAGAACTTCTCTAAGTTACTAGTTTTATAGTACAAAATGCATACGCCAGTTGAAGGTTTCTAGCTGACTACTATGTGCAATGTGTAGTGTGCTGTGAAGTTTCGCTGTCACAACTTTCTAATAATAGATTTTGGCATGTGTGCCTAATATATATTGTGCAAAATCACCTGTTTAGGTGACGGTGTGACGTGCCGGAATCTCTCATTTGATGTTGCTTCGTCCAACCGCACAAAGCAATGTCTTGTGATCTGCTTTATTTGATGAGATTGAAGTATTTACAGAGATGTAACACTGCCGATATGAGTGTTTTGCTGCAAGAGTGATGTACATGTACATACTTGTTTAACTTGATATTCCCGAAAGCACTTATGTTTTTTTATTAGCTAATTGTTCGTTGAGTATGAATAGTGGAAAACATTCGACGTTTCATGTGAGCTTAACATTCGAAAAGCCGTTATCATCAACTACGCTACAAAATTGTATGTGGGAAGGTGGTTAAGGAATATTTATTTTGTGCTGTGTGATACGCCCATGCATGTTTTTTAGGTGTACAGTGAGGATGAAAGCCAGACGATAGATATGTTCGGAAAACACTACTTGGTGATCTGACACAGTGGTGTTAGCGAATGGATATTGATCCTCTTTGGCAATCAAGAATTTTGATTGGAGAGCTACTGCGAAAAAAAGAACTTGCCCACGCTTCTGCAACGTAAGTTACAACCAGCGCATGCTTAGCAAAGTTGATAAGCGTTGAAAATCTATCGGTTTTGTTACAGGTAAAGTCCAAGAAACAAACCTTGCCTATTACAGGCAGAATAAACCTATGACAGGACGTACAAAAGGGGGCGAATTCACAAAACTTATCTGTAGAGTGTTTGCCCAATGTTAAACAAGATTCAATCGCTCATATGTCACACGTAAGATGCTTTTGCGAATACGGGCCAAGGTGTCAAGATCAGATACCGTAGTCATGTCCCTGTCTGTCACTATGTGTCGCACGTTACGCCTTCTATTCAGGACGGGACCTACATTGAAACATGTCGGCGTATACGCAGTGTTCTCTAAGTGGAGAACCGAAGGTAACAGACGCCTCTTCTCCCCTCCTCTTTTCTTGGTCAAGTTAAAAAAAAGAGAATAACAATGGCTTAAGTTCAAGTGTTGATCAGCTTCTCAAAAGAGCCTGCCATTCTTTTCTGGCTTCCCAGGAGTAAATTGCGCAATTAAACATTTTTTGGAATGCAACATTACGGACTCGTCGGCCATTATAGTCTGAATCCTACACGAAAATAGCCCTACACGTAAAAAAAAACAGAAAGTAAAGCTGTATTCACACGATACATGAAATCGCTAACGAGCCTGTGGATTGCACACTACGTCACCGTATACGTCAGCCATACCAGCATACACGTTTCGGTCCGCGCAGATTGATTTCTGAAACGACGGCACTTCAAGTCACAGTTAAGATCCATGGAGAGCAACGGCGAAACCCTCGCTTGTAGCGGGAATTCTTCCCTGTCTTGAGAATTCTGGAGACCAAGGAATACGTCACAGGTCATGTGACTGATTCCTTTGTGATCACGTCCATCGTTGGAATAGAGCTTCAAGGATTGAAATTGTTCCCTCTTAATAAACGTACGGAGCAGACGTGGCGCACACTTTAATCTCTTATAGAAAAGGGGAGGGGACATGACATGCGTGTACTCACTGAGTCCCTCGGCATGAACTTCAGTAAACGTGAAGGCAAGTATTGGAATGTGCATGCTTACTTATACGTGATGAACTGCGTGATCTGAAAACAGGTTTGAGGCAGTGTGGTTGGTGCTATTGGCAAAATTACGCTGCATAAAAACCGAGAAATGCCTCGAGTATGGTTCCTGAGAAAATACTGCTCTTTTTCTTTATTCCAATTTACCCTAAAAAACTCTCCGGTTCTTATCTCAGATATATGATGCTTATTTTGTGTCACTGAAGTTGAAAGTGATCTGAATAAACCTGTGTTGATGTTCTGCGCATTGTTTTTTTACATCCACTTTGAGCAGGATAATATTTGGGGTTTAGCGCCTGCCATCAAGGATATAATTATGGAGGACGCCATAGTGGAGAGTTCCGGAAAGTGCGACCATCTGGTGTTCGTTAACATTCACTGACGCCACACAGCACGTGGTCCTCTAAAGTCACCTCCATCAAAATATGACCGCCACGGCTGGGATTGAACCCGTGACCTTTATGTCTACAGCTGAGTAGCAGTCTACCACCGCGACGGATGCACCTAGCGCACATTTTAACAACTTTTATGAACTATATAGGTAAAAAATGAGTATTCTGACCATTATCAACCACATAGGCGTAACTCTCTCATATAATTATCACAAGTGCAGCCAAACATCAATGAGTAGATCATCCGGCGCGTAATCAGAAGGTCGCAGGTTCTACCCCTGCCAGCACCAAGTTCAGTTTTCGTCCACTTTACTTCCTTAAAATGAACCGTTGAATTACTAAAATACACTTTAAATAGTACAATTAAAGTCTCTTATACGTTTATTTGATTCGTTAAGTGCTGGTTTGCTATACTTTTGAGTCAATCAGCAAAACTACTCCTCAAAATTTGGTTCCTTCATTCATTTACAAAGAGAGATTACTTCCGGCAAACTTGATTCTTTATTGTATATAGTTCGCGAGGGCTTATTGCTTAGCTGTGGTCTTGGCTAGGGTGGTCTAGTGGCCAAGGTACTAGGCTGCTGACCCGCAGGTCACGGGATTGAATACTGGATTCGGCGGCTGCATTTTCAATGGAGGCGGAAATGCTGTAGTCCCGCATTCTCAGAATTGGGTTCACGATGAAGAACTTCAGGTGGTCAAAATTTCCAGAGCCCTCTACTACGGCACCTCTCACCATTATAAGGTGGTTTTCGGATGTTAATTTCCACATAACAATCGTTATTGCTCAGCCGTGAGCTCGATAAACAATCAGGTGCTTCGTGATGCGAGCTGGTTTGCATGCACATAAATACCCAATAAAGGAGACAACAGGATGGCTGTCGCCGTTGCTTAAGTGCTAAAGCGTCGGGTCCATGCTGACGGAAAGTGTTTTTTCCCTCTCTGTTACTTTTTCACAATTAGGTAGCAGCTATTATCGTCAACTCAAAAAGTACAGTTAACGTCCAGTATGCCCTCGTTTGCTTCATTATGTCTTAATTTTCAAAAAAGCTGTCGCAATCATAAACACGAGCACTAAAAATGTCTGCATTTTATCAACGCCTCATAGGTAAGTCGCAAACAGTCTGATCTGATGTGTTGCTATCCGGTCTCCAACTTTTTCATTTTACTTTCTCCTTAATTACGTTTTAGGTAAATCATTGTTTTTACTTTTTCAAATTAGCTGCTTAGCTTAGTTACATTAAGCTTAGTTAAGCAGAATAGGGTGCGTATACTATATGCTATAGTTAAAAACATGCATTAGTCAGGGCATCATAGCACGCGTCACCATATGTTTAAACTCAGGCTAGAGAGTTCTAGGGCACCGTGTGTATGGGCATGACAAACTTAAAATGCTATATTTTATCTTTTTCTTGCTTAGAGTGTTCGTATTCTAAAAGGTATATCTTTGTAAGTACATTACTGGAGACCGCCAAACCCAACCACTACTTATGCAGGAAAAGAGAAACTGTGTGTGCAAAAAGTTTGCGCTTGGGCAGACTTTTGTTATGACAGCATCATAAGCGCACCCTAAGAAATGAGCCAGGATTTGCCATCGTGTCGAGAAATAAGCACCAAAAAAGCATTGTGTGCTATAGTAAGGATATACATTTGTTCCTGACAGTGCTATTCAAGGACGCGTTGCTCGTTGCATAGCCATAGTAGACGCATAAATAGCTGTATCCTATAAGCCA